AAAACGTTTTGTAAATGCTTTGTATTTCGATATTGTATTCGTTTCGTTATTGTTCTGAGGTCATTTCGTTATTATTTCCGTATGTCTGGGCCAGTTTTATGGTTTAATTAGTGAAAAAAAATTATAATATCACACCAACAGTCAACAACAGAGGGAGAGGGAAGCTTCAGAAGGTTTTGGAGGTTTTTTAGCGTATTTCGCGGTCGCGTCCGCCATTAACGAATCGATTCGTTATTGTTTCGGAAATCGATTCGTTAATTTTTTTACCATTTACGAAATTTCGTAAATATCGAACTTTTTAAAAGGAAAATTTTGTAATAAATATCGAAACAAAAAAAACCCCCAAATACAAATCGATTTTAGAAACAAATTTTTCCGTTGTTACCCAGGCCTAATAAATAGCATGGGGGACAGAATAGAACCTTGCGGGACCTCACTGGTCAATGACCAGGGGTCCGAGCAGGAGTCCCCCAGCTTCTCCAAATGGAGCTGTCTTCATAGACTTGTCAGCAGCCTATGATACTGTGAACCACCGCCTCCTCCTGAGAAAAATGTATAATATCACAAAGGACTACCACCTCACCCGCCTCATAGGAAACCTGCTACAAAACAGGAGCTTTTTTGTTGAGTTCCAGGACCAGAGAAGCAGATGGCGGAAACAGAAGAACGGCCTGCCTCAGGGGAGCGTGCTTGCTCCATCCATGTTCAACATCTACACAAATGACCAGCCACTGCCAGAAGGGACAGAGAGTTTCATCTATGCTGATGACCGTGCCATTACTGCTCAAGCAAGGAGCTTTGAGTTGGTAGAACAGAAGCTTTCTGAAGCTCTAGGTGCTCTTACTGCCTATTACAGGGAAAACCAGCTGATCCCCAACCCATCTAAAACACAGACATGTGCCTTTCATCTCAAGAACAGAGAAGCATCCCGAGCTCTAAAGATCACCTGGGAAGGAATCCTACGGGAGCATTGCAGCGCACCCAAATACCTCGGAGTCACTCTGGATCGTGCTCTTACCTACAAGAAGCATTGTCTGAACATTAAGCAAAAAGTGGGTGCCAGAAACAATATCATACGAAAGCTGACTGGCACAACCTGGGGATCACAACCAGATACAGTGAAGACATCTGCCCTTGCGCTGTGCTACTCCGCTGCTGAGTATGCATGCCCAGTGTGGAATACATCTCACCACACTAAAACAGCGGATGTGGCTCTTAATGAGACATGCCGCATTATCAAGGGATGTCTGCTCCCTACACCACTGGAGAAATTACACTGCTTAGCCGGTATCGCACCACCTGACATCCGCCGGGAAGTAGCAGCCAATAGTGAAAGGACCAAGGCAGAGACATCTCCAGCTCATCCCCTGTTTGGGTATCAGCCAGCACGTCAACGACTTAAATCCAGACATAGTTTTCTAAGATCTACAGAGACACTCGCTGGAACACCTCAGCAAGCGAGAGTCCAAAAGTGGCAGGCTCAAACCCAGATCCTCAACCAATGGCTGATACCAAATGAGAGACTCCCCCCTGGGCACACAGAAGACTGGGCAACTTGGAAGGCGCTGAACAGACTGCGCTCTGGCACCACGAGATGCAGAGCCAACCTTTGGAAATGCGGCTACAAAGTGGAATCCATGACATGCGAGTGCGGAGAAGAACAAACTACAGACCACCTGCTGCAATGCAACCTGAGCCCTGCCACATGCACAATGGAGGACCTCCTTGCAGCAACTCCAGAAGCACTCCAAGTGGCCAGATACTGGTCAAAGGACATTTAATCAACTACCAAACTCACATATTTTGTATTTTCTCTGTTTGTTTGCTTTGTTCTGTTAGAAATGTAATATATTTGACTGGCTGCCCTGACATGAGAAATAAAAACCAAATGGGAATGACCCTCCAGGAAGGACCGGGGCCACAGTAAAATCGTGCCCCCGAGTCCCATCCCAGTGAGTCTTCCCAGTAGGATGCCATGGTTGATGGTATCGAAAGTTGCTGAGATGTCCAAGAGAACCAGCAGGGTCACACTCCCCCTGTCCAGTTCCCTGTGGAGGTCATCCACCAAGGCGACCAAAGCCGTCTTGGTACTGTGCCCAGGCCGAAAGCCAGAGTGCGAGCGATCCAGATAATCAGTATCATCGAGGAATATCTGAAGCTGCGAGGCAACCACCTGCTCCAGAACCTTGCCCAAGAAAGGGAGATTGGAGATTGGTCTGTAGTTGTTACATACAGCCAGGTCAAGGGTGGTCTTCTGTCATCCTGCCATGGATTCTTGTTTGCTCAATACCTTTGGATTATGCTTCATGTTGTTTGCCATTGAACTCTGGAAACTTCGCCTTTGCACTTAAGACTCTGCTTTTGCCATTGAACTTTTGAAACTCTACTTTTATGTTAAAGACTTTGTTTTTCTTCAGTAAACTACAAAACCTTCAGCTTTGGTGTGGTGTGGTGTTTTGAGCAAGGTGAATCTATCCTGCGCTGCAACAGGAAGGAAAGGAAAGGAAAGTAGGAGAAAGAGGGAGGGGGAGAAGGAAGGAAGGAAGGAAGGAAGGAAGGGCAAAAGGATGGCAGGGGAAGGAAGGAGGGAGTGAGAAAGAGGGTGGTAAGGAAGGGATGGAGAGAAGGAGGGAAGAAGGAAAGAATGGAAGGAAGGATGAAAGGATGGAAGGGAAGGAGAAGGAGAGGAGGAAGGAAAGAGAGAAAGATAGAAAGGATAGGACAGTGAGGGAGAAGGGCCTGAGATAAGAGCCCTCTTCAGCTCCCGGACTTGGGTTTGCCCATCCCTGATATAATTGCACTTCCATTTCAATAATATTCATTTTCCACAAATTCTAGATCAGTGGTTCTCAATGTTCCTAATGCCATGACCCCTTAATACAGTTCCTCATGTTGTGGTGACCCCCGGCCATTAAATTATTTTCATTGCTACTTCATAATTGTAATTTTGCTACTGTTATGAATTGGTATGTAAATATCTGATATGCAGGATGTATTCTCATTTACTGGACCAAATTTGGCACAAATACCCAATATGCCCAAATTTGAATACTGGTGGGGTTGGGATGGGAGGATTGGTGGGTGGATGGGAGGATGGGGTTTGGTGGGCATTGACCTTGAGTTTAGGAGTTGTAGTTCAGCTACATCCAGAGAGCACTGTGGGTTCAAACAATGAGGGGTCTGTACCAAACTTGGCACAAATACTCAATATGCCCAAAGATAGAATCATAGAATCATAGAATCATAGAATCAAAGAGTTGGAAGAGACCTCCTGGGCCATCCAGTCCACCCCCATTCTGCCAAGAAGCAGGAATATTGCATTCAAATCACCCCTGACAGATGGCCATCCAGCCTCTGCTTAAGAGCTTCCAAAGAAGGAGCCTCCACCACACTCCGGGGCAGAGAGTTCCACTGCTGAACGGCTCTCACATCAGGAAGTTCTTCCTAATGTTCAGATGGAATCTCCTCTCTTGTAGTTTGAAGCCATTGTTCCGCGTCCTAGTCTCCAAGGAAGCAGAAAACAAGCTTGCTCCCTCCTCCCTGTGGCTTCCTCTCACATATTTATACATGTCTATCATATCTCCTCTCAGCCTTCTCTTCTTCAGGCTAAACATGCCCAGCTCCTTAAGCCGCTCCTCATAGGGCTTGTTCTCCAGACCCTTGATCATTTGAGTCGCCCTCCTCTGGACACATTCCAGCTTGTCAATATCTCTCTTGAATTGTGGTGCCCAGAATTGGACACAATATGCCAGATGTGGTCTAACCAAAGCAGAATAGAGGGGTAGCATTACTTCCTTAGATCTAGACACTATGCTCCTATTGATGCAGGCCAAAATCCCATTGGCTTTTTTTGCCGCCACATCACATTGTTGGCCCATGTTTAACTTGTTGTCCACGAGGACTCCAAGATCTTTTTCACACGTACTGCTCTCGAGCCAGGCGTCACCCATTCTGTATCTTTGCATTTCATTTTTTTCTGCCAAAGTGGAGTATCTTACATTTGTCACTGTTGAACTTCATTTTGTTAGTTTTGGCCCATCTCTCTAATCTGTCAAGATCGTTTTGAATTCTGCTCCTGTCCTCTGGACTATTGACTCTCCCTCCCAATTTGGTGTCGTCTGCAAACTTGATGATCATGCCTTCTAGCCCTTCATCTAAGTCATTAATAAAGATGTTGAACAGGACCGGGCCCAGGACGGAACCCTGCGGCACTCCACTTGTCACTTCTTTCCAAGATGAAGAGGAAGCATTAGTGAGCACTCTCTGTGTTCGTCCACTTAGCCAATTACAGATCCACCTCACCGTAGTTTTGCCTAGCCCACATTGGACTAGTTTCCTTGCCAGAAGGTCATGGGGGACCTTGTCGAAGGCAATATGTACACTGGTGAATTTTGGGGGAAATAGACCTTGACATTTGGGAGTTGTAGTTGCTGGGATTTATAGTTCACCTATGTTCAAAGGGGATTCTGAACTACACCAACAATGGACTTGAACCAAACTTGGCACACAGAACTCCCATGACCAACAGAAAATACTGGAAGGGTTTGGTGGGCATTGACCTTGGGTTTTAGAGTTGTAGTTCGTCTACATCCAGAGAGCAACAATGATGGATCTGGATCAAACTTGGCACGAATATTCAATATGCCCAAATGTGAACACTGGTGAAGTTCAGGGAAAATAGACCTTGACATTTGGTAGTTGTAGTTGCTGGGATTTATAGTACACCTACTACCAAAGAGCATTCTGAAGTCCACCAACAATAGAATTAGGCCAAATTTCCCACACAGAACTCCCATGACCAACAGAAAATACTGTCTGTGATGATCTTTGGCGACCCCTCTGACACCCCCTCGTGACCCCTTCAGGGGTCCCGACCCCCAGGTTGAGAACCACTGTTCTAGATATTCATTCTCATTGTTGTGAAAAAACAAACAAACGTGTCCCCAATCCTTCTTGAAGTTTGTCAACGTTTGACCTTTATTCCTCCCTTTCCTTTCCAGAGAGGCCCAAAATCTATGAAAAGGAGACGGATTTTTACAAGCCGGACTTGGTCACCAAAGGAGAGGAGCAGAGCCTCCAATGCACGGCAAGCGGGACTCCACTGCCCAGCATCCACTGGGAATGGGAGCCCTGCAGTCATACAGACAGCCAGTAAGTGTCTTGGTTTGCTGTGAGCTTTCCGGGCTGTCTGGCCATGTTCCAGAAGCATTCTCTCCTGATGTTTCACTACGACAGGCATCCTCAGAGGTTGTGAGGTCTGTTGGAAACTAGAAAAATTGGGTTTATCTATCTGTGGAATGTCTAGGGTGGGAGAAAAAACCGGGACTGTGGCACAGTTGGCTGGGAGTCAGCTGCATTAAGATCACTACGGACCGAAAGGTCATGAGTTCGGAGCCAGCCCGGGGTGGAGTGAGCTTCTGACCAATTGGTGGAGCTTATTGTCGAGCTTTGCAGCCTGAAAGACAGTTGCATCTATCAAGTAGGAAATTTAGGTACCACTTAAGTGGGGAGGCTAATTTAACTAATTTATGAGGCCATAAAAATCTCCAGCAAGCATGCAAAGAATGAGGAAGTACTTCATCAGTGTCACAAATGGACGGTGAAGTGACAGCTTCCCTAGTGGCCAGAAACCGGAATGTTAAATAGCCTCTGAGTGTCTGTCTATATATGTTGTGTCTATGGCATTGAATGTTTGCCAGGTATATGTACATTAAGATCACTACTGACCAAAAGGTCATGAGTTCGAAGCCAGACGGGGTCGGAGTGAACATCGGACCAATTTGTGTAGCTTGTTGTTGACCTTTGCAGCCCGAAAGACAGTTGCATCTGTCAAGTAGGAAATTTGGGTACCACTTACGTGGGGAGGCTAATTTAACTAATTTATGAGGCCATAAAAATCTACAGCAAGCATGCAAAGAATGAGGAAGTACTTCATCAGCGTCACAAACGGACGGTGAAGTGACAGCTTTCCTGGTGGCCAGAAACCGGAATGTTAAATAGCCTCTGAGTGTCTGTCTATATATGTTGTGTCTATGGCATTGAATGTTTGCCATGTATATGTACATTAAGATCACTACTGACCTAAAAGTCATGAGTTCGAAGCCAGCCGGGGTCGGAGTGAGCTTCCGACCAATTTGTGTAGCTTGTTGTCGACCTTTGCAACCCGAAAGACAGTTGCATCTGTCAAGTAGGAAATTTAGGTACCACTTTGTGGGGAGGCTAATTTAACTAATTTATGAGGCCATAAAATATCTCCAGCAAGCATGCAAAGAATGAGGAAGTACTTCGTCAGTGTCACAAACGGACGGTGAAGTGACAGTTTCCTTAGTGGCCAGAAACCGGAATGTTAGCCTCTGTCTATATATGTTGTGTGTCTGTGGCATTGAATGTTTGCTCTCCAGGCACAAAACGAAACGGCTTTACACAGAAATGGTGGGTGTTGGAAGGTACGCACATCCTCTTTCAAAGAGGGGATGGAAGTATTGTGAACATGGAGGGCGCAGCAAGGGATACCCGGGTGGCGGCCACGTTTGATGGTTGCCGCCGCCAGGTCTCCCACCTCCGTGCGTTTTGCGGTTGCCTGGCAACTTGTGCAAGAAGCTCAGGATATATATTTAGAGATGTAAGTGTGCAGCGTGTGATGATGCACAGAGACACAGAGGCTCCCGTGAGTCATACCTTGCAGGCACGGCTTTTGTGTCTTCACGCATGCCACTCCTGGGATGCATTTTGGCTGCTTGAGATATGTGGGAAGTCAGTGAGGTCACCTCATCATTCCCTGCCCCATTTGACAGCCACACTGCTACTAGCCTCCTTCTTTCTCCTCTTCTTCTCCATCTTTTTGTCTTCTCCTTTCTTTTTCCTTTGTCTTCACTTTTGTTTCTTTTCTGCTTCTTCATCTCCTCCTCCCTGTTCTTCCCATTCTTCCTCCTCTTCCTCCCCTTCTTCTTCCCCTTTCTTGTTCTTCTCTTTCTTCCTCCTTCTCCTTTTCTACCTCTTCCTCCTCTTCTTTCTCTTCCTCTTTCTTCATCTTCTTCTTTCTCTTCTTGATTTTTCTTCTCTTCTTTTTCTTCCTCCTCCGCTTCCTCTTTATCTTCTCCTCTTCCTTCCTCCTCATCCTCTTTTTCTTCTTTCTCTTCTTCTTTATTCTTCTTCCCCTCTACTTCCTCCTCTTCCTCCTCCTCTGCTTCCTCTTCTTCTCCTTCTCCCCCTATTCTTCCTCCTCCTCTTTTTCTTCTTCATTTCCCTTTCCTCTTTTTTCACCCTCTTCTTTTCTCGTCTTGATTTTTCTTCTCTTCTTATTCTACCTCCTCCACTTCCTCTTTATCTTCTCTCCTCTTCCTCTTTCTTCCTCCTCTTTCTCTCCCTTCAACCCTTTTTCTTCTTTCTCTTCTTTATTATTCTTCTCCTCCTCTGCTTCCTTCTCTTCTTCCTCCTCCTCCTCCTCTGCTTCCTCTTCTTCTTTTCCCCCTCTTCCTCCTCCTCCTTCTTCCTCTTCTACTTCTCCTCCTCTCCTCATCCTCCTCTTTTTCTTCTCCATTTCCTCTTTCTCTTTCTTCACCCTCTTCTTCTTTCTCTTCTTGATTTTTCTTGCCTTCTTCTTCCTCCTCCTCCTCCACTTCCTCTTTATCTTCTTCTCCTCTTACACCTTCTTCCTCCTCTTTCTCTCTCTTCGTCCTCTTTTTCTTCTTTCTCTTCTTTATTCTCCTCCTCCCCGTCTTCTTCTTCCTTTTCCTCCCCCTCTGCTTCATCTTCTTCCTCTTCTTCATCTCTCCCTCCTCTTCCTCCTCCTCCTCCTCCTCCTCCTCCTTCTCCTCTTCCCCCTCCTCATCCTCCTCTTTTTCTTCTCCATTTCCTCTTCCTCTTTATTCACCCTCTTCTTCTTTCTCTTCTTGATATTTCTTCTCTTCTTTTTCTTCCTCCTCCTCCACTTCCTCTTTATCTTCTTCTCCTCTTGCTCCTTCTTCCTCCTCTTCCGCTGGCTTCATCCTCTTTTTCTTCTTTCTCTTCTTCTTTATTCTCCTCCTCCTCCTCTTCTTCTTCTCTCCCTCCTCTTCCTCCTCCTTCTTCCTCTTCTCCTCCTCCTCTTCCCCCTCCTTCTCTACTTCTTCATTCTCCTCCTCGTCCTCTTCTTCTTCTTCCGTTCCATGCAAATTCATAAAATACAATACAGGTTGGATCTCTATTGTTCTGAATGCTCATAAACAATGTTGTCATCATCATATTGGAGTTCTATAAGAGAAGTTAAATAGCTTGCCATCTGTCCGATCGATAGTTTCCACTCCAGTGGGAAGCTTCCCATTGACAAATCAAAGTATCATAGCAATGAAGATGGAAAATAAGGTTGGGACAATAACACATCCTTGTTTGACGCCTGATTCCACGACGAATGGGTCACTTCGGAAGCCATTGCTGTCCAAGACTGTTGCCATCATGTCATCGTGAAGGATCCACAAATTTGTCAGGGCACCCGATTTTTTTGAAAGATGGTCCAGAGAACTACAAAGCTTTCATTTGAGGAGTTTTGGTGGGGAAAGGTGAAGATAGACTACTGCAACGCACTCGTATAGACTCGTATAGTAGTCCCGTATAGACTACTGCAACGCACTCTACGTGGGGTTGCCCTTGAAAACTGTTCGGAAACTTCAACTGGTACAGCGAGCGGCAGCCAGATTGCTGACCGGAGCGACATACAGGGAGCACACCCCCCCCCCCCTGCTGTGCCAGCTCCACTGGCTGCCGATTCAGTTCCGAGCACCATTCAAGGTGCTGGTTCTGCCCTACAAAACCCTTTACGGTTCCGGTCCAGTGTATCTGTCCGAACGTATCTCCCTCTACGTCCCACCCCGAATGAGATCATCTGGGGAGGCCCTGCTCTCAACCCCACCGCTATCACAAGTGAGGTTGGTGGGGACGAGGAGCAGGGCCTTCTCAGTGGTGGCCCCCCACCTGTGGAACTCACTCCCGGGGGAAATTAGGGCATCAAAATCCCTCCTTGCATTCAGGAGGAAGGTAAAGACGTGGTTGTGGGACCAGGCCTTTGGGCACCCTGACAATTAGATATGGAAACCAGATGGATAGGACCAACAGTTTGTGGAAATTGGAACTTAAACTATGAGTCTGTGAAACGCTGACCATCAATGAGGTTTGTATTGATTTTATTGATTTTATTGGTTTTATTGGTTTTATGGTTGTTTTTGCCGTTTATAATCATTGTTTCCTGTTAATTGTTACTGCTAAAACTGCTGTTTGTTAACTGTTGTTATTGTCCTTTGCTGTTATGTAATGCGGGCATCGAATTGTGCCTTGCTTTTGGAGCTGACACAGCGGGGGGGGGGGGGTGCTCCCTGTATGATGCTCCAGTGAGCAATCTGGCTGCCACTCGCTGGACCAGTTGAAGTTTCCGAACAGTCTTCAAGGGCAACCCCACGTAGAGTGCGTTGCAGCAGTCTATACAGGACTACTATATGAGTCCCTCCCGGGTGAGAAGGGCGGGGTAGAAGCAACCAAAATAAATAAATAATAAAGATGGCCTGCCGATTCCAGATGTGCCTTTGAAGCCGCCTTACCAATTGCGAGTTGGGCTCCAAGGAGTTAAGGCTTCCTCAGAACAAGCAGCTACCAGAAAACAAGGGCACCCCACTGGGACGTTTGAAGTTTTCAACTCCTCCAACAGGAACAGCTGCTGTGAAGTAAATAAACAGGCCCTTGAAGAATGTATGCCGCAGCGGGTTTGGGATGGAGCACAGACCAAGCTGGCTTTGTCCATTTTGACTCTCCAAGAGGAGACGTGAAGAGGAAGGCGACAAATAGAACAAACAGGAGAAGTCTGGTGGTATTTTGAAATGAGGCAATAAATGGACCTTTACAAGGAATGAAAAGATTAACATGGTTTTGCTACTAGAAGTCTTTATCTTCTTCTTCTTCTTCCTAGTGTTTGTCCCACAAATTCGCAGGGTCCACTTGTTTATGTCCGCTCAGTTGTGTCTCTCATTGTGTCATACGTACTCCAGAGCAGGAACACCTCTGACCTGAAACACCACACCAGCTTGATAAAATCAGCAAGCAGTTTATTGTAGTATATATGTAGGCAAAGCACTACAAAATAGTAAAAAAAGTCCAAAATCCAAGATAATCCATAAACTTTAAAAGTAAACCAGGTCCATTAGTACACAGAAATCCATGGAACGCCTGGCTCGAGAGCAGTATGTGTGAAAACGATCTTGGAGTCCTCGTGGACAACAAGTTAAACATGAGCCAACAATGTGATGTGGCGGCAAAAAAAGCCAATGGGATTTTGGCCTGCATCAATAGGAGCATAGTGTCTAGATCTAGGGAAGTCATGCTCCCCATGCTCTATTCCGCTTTGGTTAGACCACTTTACCTGGAATATTGTGTCCAATTCTGGGCACCACAATTCAAGAGAGATATTGACTCTAAGCTGGAATGTGTCCAGAGGAGGGCGACTAAAAAATGAGAAAAGGTCTGGAGAACAAGCCCTATGAGGAGCGGCTTAAGGAGCTGGGCATGTTTAGCCTGAAGAAGAGAAGGCTGAGAGGAGATATGATAGCCATGTATAAATATGTGAGAGGAAGCCACAGGGAGGAGGAGCAAGCTTGTTTTCTGCTTCCCTGGAGACTAGGACGCAATGGAACAATGGCTTCAAACTACAAGAGAGGAGATTCCATCTGAACATGAGGAAGAACTTCCTGACTGTGAGAGCCGTTCAGCAGTGGAACTCTCTGCCCCGGAGTGTGGTGGAGGCTCCTTCTTTGGAAGCTTTTAACAGAGGCTGGATGGCCATCTGTCAGGGGTGCTTTGAATGCAATATTCCTGCTTCTTGGCAGAATGGGGTTGGACTGGATGGCCCATGAGATCTCTTCCAACTCTTTGATTCTATGATTCTATGATTCCAGATCAACAGACTGGGCCACAGCAACGCCTGGCAGGGGACAGCTAGTTGTTGTTATTATTATTATTATTATTATTATTATTATTATTATTATTATTATTATTATTATATAGTAGAATGAATGCAGTTTAATACCACTTGAACGGCCAGGGCTTAAAGCGATGGTGTCCTGGAAGTTGCAGTTTTATGACATCTTCACCTCCTCTATTCCAACAAACAACACCTCCCAAATTCCCAAGGAATTGAAGTATGGCCATGAAAGTGGTGATGAGAAATGGTCTCTCCTTTGAATGAATTCCAGTCTTTGGAGCTCAGCTCTGGCTTAGGAAGAGAGAGTGAAATGAGGGGAAAGCGGAGAAAGGGAAGCAGACTGTAAAGCTCCGCAAGAGATCATAGCCCAAAGCTTTCTTTGCACTGCAGGGCTCTGGCAGAACAACAGAGAGGGTTCTGAGCATCCTTTAGCAGGTGCAAAGATTGTGCAAACGCCTACATTGGAGAAAAGAAGGGAGAGCGCATTGGCTCAACCAGCTGCATTCTGAGGAAGACTCAGGATAGGATACAGCTTGGAAGCGTTCTCTTTTCCAATGACAAGGAGGTGAAAACTGAAGTGATGAACTGGTTGAAAAAAGGCGGAGGAAAACTTCTATGACACGAGCATCAAAAACTTGTCCTAGAGGAGAGAATGTGTCTAGAACATGGCCATATAGCCCGAAAAAACCTACAACAACCCACTTGTTGGAGAACAAGCCCTACGAGGAGCGGCTTAGGGAGCTGGGCATGTTTAGCCTGAAGAAGAGAAGGCTGAGAGGAGATATGATAGCCATGTATAAATATGTGAGAGGAAGCCACAGGGAGGAGTGAGCAAGCTTGTTTTCTGCTTCCTGGAGACTAGGACGCGGAACAATGGCTTCAAACTACAAGAGAGGAGATTCCATCTGAACATGAGGAAGAACTTCCTGACTGTGAGAGCCGTTCAGCAGTGGAACTCTCTGCCCCGAGTGTGGTGGAGGCTCCTTCTTTGGAAGCTTTTAAACAGAGGCTGGATGGCCATCTGTCAGGGGTGATTTGAATGCAATATTCCTGCTTCTTGGCAGGGGTTGGACTGGATGGCCCATGAGGTCTCTTCCAACTCTTTGATTCTTTGATTCTATGATTCTATGATCCCCAAACATAAAATTAGTTTCATTGCTACTTCATAATTGTCATTTTGCTGCTGTTATGAATAGTAATGTAAATATCTGATATAGAATCAAAGAGTTGGAAGAGACCTCATGGGCCATCCAGTCCAACCCCATTCTGCCAAGAAGCAGGAATATTGCATTCAAATCACCCCTGACAGATGGCCATCCAGCCTCTGTTTAAAAGCTTCCAAAGAAGGAGCCTCCACCACACTCCGGGGCAGAGAGTCCCACTGCTGAACGGCTCTCACAGTCAGGAAGTTCTTCCTAATGTTCAGATGGAATCTCTCTTGTGCCTGTTTTTTTTTAATCACTGGGCCAAATTTGGCACAAATACACAATACACCCAAATTTGAATACTGGTGGGATTGGGGGAGGGTATTGATTTTGTCCTGTGGGAGTTGTAATTGCTGGGATTTATAGTTCACCTACAATCAAAGAGCATTCTGAACCCCACCAACAATAGAATTGAGCCGAACTTCCAACACAGAACCCCCATGATGACCAGCAGAAAATACTGTATTGTCAAAGGCTTTCATGGCCGGAATCACTGGATTGTTGTAGGTTTTTCGGGCTGTATGGCCATGGTCTAGAGGCATTCTCTCCTGACGTTTCTCCTGCATCTATGGCAAGCATCCTCAGAGGTAGTGAGGTCTGTTGGAACTAGGAAAAAGGGTTTATATATCTGTGGAATGACTAGGGTGAGACAAAGGACTCTTGTCTGCTGGAGCTAGGTGTGAATGTTTCAACTGGCCACCTTGATTAGCATACAATGGGCTGACTGTGCCTGGAGCAAACTTTTGTTGAGAGGTAATTAGATGTCCCTGCCTGCTTCCTCTCTGTTTGTTGTGCTGTTGCACATTCACACCTAGCTCCAGCAGACAAGAGTCCTTTGTCCCACCCTGGTCATTCCACAGATATATAAATCCTTTTTCCTAGTTTCAACAGACCTCACTACCTCTGAGGATGCTTGCCATAGATGCAGGCGAAATGTCAGGAGAGAATGCCTCTAGACCATGGCCGTACAGCCCGAAAAAACCTACAACAACTCAGAAAATACTGTGTTTTCTGATGGTCTTTGGCAATCCTTTTAACTTACTTCAATTGTTGCAAACTATAGGTCAGCATTTCTCAACCTGGGGGGCGGGAACCCTAGGGGGGTGTCTCAAGGGGGTGCCCTTGAGACACCCCCCCTAGGGTTCCCGACCCCCAGGTTGAGAAATGCTGACCTATAGTTTGCAACAATTGAAGTAAGTTAGATTTAAGGTGGAAACTGGGACATATATTCCCCTTAAAGAGGATTAATTTGCACCGTCCCTGCCCAATTGCAGTTGGAGAATCGAGTAGTCAAAGGTGTATCAAACTGCATTAATTCTACCATTTAGATGCACACTCAGATCATTCTGTGCGCCTTTTTCTTTGCAGATGCAAACAGCGTGGAGGGAAAAGCAAAGTGGAAGAGACCATTGGGAGCGAAGCCACATACACGGCAAACAGTATCAAGAGCATTAAGATGAGGACAACGACGCACGACGACAAGTTAAAGGTATGGATTATATACATCTGCGATCAATAAAAGAAATGTTTCAAAATCGGGGGGTGCTGGAATTCCATTTCTAAAGTGTTTCTAAAGTATCCTTAGTAAAAAAAATGTTACTATAATGAGAGTAATGAAATTTTGTTACTTTTTCGTTCTACTAATTGCGCAAGTGGGGAAACTTCGGGGGCTCTTTTCTCCCTCATGTTTACAACTATTCGGGTGAAGCTTGCTACGATTGTAGAACACATTGAGCACTGTTAGCCCATCAAGTTTCAGAACATTTCACTCATCCACAGATTTTTGGCCTATTTTCAAAGTTTTTATAAACAGCATGTTTAGAAACAAACTACAAGAGCAATCTCCCTGAATTTTCTATACAATGACACAAGATTGCAGGGGATCATTCCCCCCAACTTTCAGAAATATTCGTACATCTACTGATTTGGGGGAATTAAAAAAAATAGCCACAACAGCTATTTCCTTGAATCTCTCTCTCTCATATTAACCAATAGAACTTCCATTGAGGGATGTCTTCCCAGCCCAGCACAGAGATTGACTTCCTAGAAGTCTCAGTCAATCCTCCTCTTTGCAGATTCAGCCATTCATTGGAACGCTGGCTGGCTGCTCTGACAGAGGGGCACATCGCTCTCCTCTCCTGATTGGGGCTTTCTGATGCAGAGCAGAATTCTGGGAAATGTAGTTCAGGGCATGGCCTTTTGAATCCCCTGCCATATGGTTCCTTGCCTTCCCAAACTACGTTTCCCAGAATTCAGCACAATGAAGCAAAGCAAAGCCAAAAAGGCTGCCTTTCCTCTTTAAATGAATTGCCCCTCGACATTAGGAGAGGGAAGCAGCAGTGAGAAAGCAGAGTTAGCTGGGAAAGAGATGGAGACTTACTAAAAATGGCTCCCTTCCCTTCCCAATTGCCCTGAGCAAGGGGCTGAGCCAAAACTTAACGATGATGGGCAGGTGACTTGCCCTACGACTGCAACCAAAGGAAGCCACCTATCTGCAGAGTCCCTGAAACCTAGGACTGCAAACAAACATTTAAAACACAGCAAGTAAAGTTGGAGCTCCTGATACAGCCGTACCAGAACAATTATTATTATTATTATTATTATTATTATTATTATTATTTACTACACTTATATACCTCCCCTCTCAGCCCAAAGGTGATATCATGTATCAGATAGGGCTGGGTGGTTTCATTCGTTAATTTCGTAATTCGTTATTGATTCGTATTTAAATTAGCTTAAGATCCGATATTGAGCCATGCAGGAGCAACTAAAAATGGAAAGAATTTTTCAATTTATTTCGTAATTGTTTCGTAATTGGTTCGAAATCGTTTCGAAATCGTTTCGAAATTGTTTTGTTATTATTTTCATATGTCTGGTGCAAGTTTTATAGTTGTTGTTTGTTTTATCAGTGATAAAAAAATAAATTATCACACCAACAGTCAACAACAGAGGGAGAGGGAAGCTTCAGAAGTTCCCCCTGTCCCATTTGGAGGGTTTTTTAGCATATTGCGCAATCGCGTCCGCCATTAACGAATCGATTCGTAATTGTTTCGTAATTTAGGAAATTTCATATATTTCGAACTTTTTTAAAGAAAAATTTTGGAATTCTTTTAAAAAACGAAACGCAAAAACCCCCTAAAAACGAATCGAGTTTAGAAACAAATTTTTCCGTGGTTACCCAGCCCTAGTATCAGATATCGCATCATAAATACAAATTTCATGAACTTGATCCGACTTACGAGAACTCACGAAAAATTGCCACACCCATTGGATATCGCACCATAAATACGAATTTTACGAATTTGATCTGACTTACGATGACTAATTAAAAGTTGCACACCCTTAATTGATCATATTGATCCCTCCAAATTCTCCTCCCGTGGTTTTCCCAGGCACTGGTTTGCCTTCTTTCTGGCACTGAAATCTTCAACATACTTGGGATTTTTTCACCCTGCGATCACGTTGCAATCTCCTCCGTTTATCTCTGGCAACAATGATGTAACTGCAATGCCTTTTGGAAAAGGAAGCCAAAAGGCACGATGACTCTGTTAAGAGAAACCTCACACGCCTTTTTAGTCTGAGAAAGTGTACGGAGGGGCCGTGAGCCGTGAGAATCCTTGCAAAGGGCATCCAGTTAATGACTCCTCTTATCTCCCCCAAATGCCCTGCTGTCTTTCCTCTTCTCTCTCACTTTGTCAAATCCAGTTCTATTCCTGGAGTGTCTTACGATGCATCTACACTGTAGAATCAATGCACTTTGACACCACTTTGACCGCCAAAGCTCCAAGCTATGCGATCCTGGGAGTTGTGGTTTTGCAAGGTCGTTGGATTCATCTGCAATTCACAGGATTCCATAGCATTGGAGAACTGTAGTTAAAGTGGGGTCCAACTGCATTAAGTCTGCAGTGCAGACGTCCCCTTGCTCTCTAAATTGTGTGAAAGGTGCAAATCGTTCAAATACCTCCCTCATTTTTTCCATTTTGGAACCATTCAATCCTCTCATCCGCACTTCAGGGAATGACTCCATGCTGTTGGGATTTGTAGTTTGTGGTTGCACCAGAGTTCTCCAACAGAGAAGGACAAATGACTCACAAAAGTACACAATTCCTATGATTCCACAGCAGCTAAAGTGGTACCAAACTGCATTAATTCTACAAAGTGGATTTATCCCATGAATATTGAATCACTGGGTCTACTCCAACTGGAACTGGCAATCTATATATAGATAAATGCTCTGTGCATAATGAGTACCTTAAAAACAAAAGAACCAATGAACGAAATCACACCAAATTTGGTAACAAAACGTCTCACTACACAAGGAGTGACCATCACTCAAAAAATTATGATTTTGTCATTTGGAAGTTATAGTTGCTGGGATTTATAGTTCACCTATAGTCAAAAAGCATTCTGAACTCCACCAACGATGGAATTGAACCAAACTTGGCACACGGGACTCCCCCGACCAACAGAAAACACTAGAAGGGTTTGGTGGGCATTGACCTTGAGTTTTGGAGTTGTAGTTCACCTACATCTAGAGAGCACTGTGGACTCAAACAATGATGGATCTGGACCAAACTCTGTACAAATACTCAATATGCCCAAATGTGAACACTGGTGGAGTTTGGGGAAAATAGAATATTGACATTTGGGAGTTGTAGTTGCTGGGTTTTATTTATTTATTATTTTATTTACTTTATTTATTTAGGCGACTCACAGCGGTTAACAAGAACAGCAAAAATTCAATGCTACCATCACACGGTATAAAAAACAGTTAACATCATAACACATTATACAATAATATACAATTAACAACAATAGCCATTCACTAGCGTCTCATCCCAAAAAACATGATCCAGATCCGTCATCCATTGATCCATTCCTATGTTCATTACACTCATTGCACTGACTATTCGAACGCCTGCTCAAACAGCCAGGTTTTCACTTTTTTGCGGAATACCGTTAATGATGGAACTAGTCTAATGTCCATGGGGAGGGCGTTCCACAGCCGAGGGGCCATCACTGAGAAGGCCCTATCTCTCGTCCCCGCCAGCCGTGCCTGGGAAGCAGACAGGATCGAGAGCAGGGCCTCCCCGGAAAATCTCAAAGTCCTAATGGGTTCATAGGCAAAGATACGGTCGGATAGGTAGCTTGGGCCGGAACCGTTTAGGGCTTTAAAGGTCAACGCCAGCACCTTGAATTGAGCCTGGTAGCAAATCGGTAGCCAGTGGAGTTGGCGCAACAGGGGGGTTGTATGCTCCCTGCGCTCCGCTCCTGTTAGAATCATGGCTGCCGAGCGTTGGACTAGTTGAAGCTTCTGAGCCGTCTTCAAAGTAAACCCCACGTAGAGAGCGTTGCAGTAGTCTAAACGGGATGTAACCAGAGCGTGGACTTCCGTGGCCAAGTCAGACTTCCCAAGGTACGGGCGGAGCTGGCGCACAAGCTTTAGCTGTGCAAATGCTCCCCTGCTCACCGCCGAAACCTGGGGCTCCAGGCTCAGCGATGAGTCCAGAGTCACACCCAAGCTGCGAACCTGCGTCTTCAGGGGGAGTGCGGCCCCATCCAACATAGTTCACCTACAATCACAGAGCATTCTGAACCCCACCAATGATAGAATTGGGCCAAACCTCCCACACAGAACCCCCATGTGGGCCACAGCAACGCGTGGCAGGGGATGGCTAGTAGTATATTTGCCAATAGGTTCCATATTGTGAGCTCTGAAGCCTAGCAGACTCCTGGGATTCACAGTCCAGCAACATGCGGAAAGCTCTCCAAGATTCCCCCTCCAATTGGCCCTGTTCCACTTCCTGTTCTTGAAAATGACTTCTTCAGCTTCGCCAAAAGGCAGCCCTGTCTCTTTCTTACCACCGTCAACACTCCAAAGGACGCTTCCTAGGGCTGCCTCCAGCCTTCTTTCGATGTGTTTGGATACATTATTTTGACGCTTTCCTCAGTAGATGCACTCCCCATATCTCAGTGTTACTCAACCTTCCTAATGCCGTGACCCCTTAATACACCCCAACCGTATAAAAATATATATTATATTATATAATTTTTATATAATTTTATATTAAAAATTATATAAAAATGTATATAATTTAAAAATAATATATTTTAATATAATTTCTTATATAATTTTTAATTATATATAATTTTTAATTTTTAGTTTTTTTAGTTTTTATTTTGTTTTTATTAAAATTGATTTTATATCAATTATATAAAATTGCATTAAATTTATTTTATATCAATTATATAAAATTAGTAAAAATTTATTTTATATAAATTATACAAAAATTATTTTAAAAATTTAAAAATTGGTTGTAATTTTTAATATTTTTAAAATATTAAAATTTTTAATATTTTGATTGTACTGTGGTTGTTTGTATGATGCTTTTGTGAGGCCGCCCTGAGTCCAACTTCGGGGGGAGAAGGGCAGGGTATAAATATAAGAAATAAATAAATAAAAATAAAATAAAATAAATTCCATGGCGA